GAGGGTAGTAGGGGAGGGACATGTGACCCCCAAAGCTGGAGAGAGCGCCAAGTTGACACTGCTCACGGGGTATTGCTGGCAGGGGAACAGCTCAGGGCCATCGCCAGCCGCTGGTTGCTCAAACCCTTGTGTTTTCTCCCCTCTTCTCCCAGGAAGCGCGCCTACAGCAAGGAGGCGGTGTACAGTGACAAATTACAGCACTACAGCACCGGGCGAGGTGAGCGGGGAAACACCCCTAAACCTGCTCCCAGCACGGGCCCTGCTCCTCCGCCTTCAAACGTGCCCAGCGGGAGGATGGAGAGGACCGCGGGGTGGGAGCGGAGGTGTCCCCAGCTGTGTTGAGGGGTCTCGGGGGGTTGCAGCACTGCAGCATTGTGGGTGGGAAGGGAAGAGCAATGGGTGGATTTGGGGGATGAGGATGGATTTGGGGGGCCGGGGGGGATGTAGGGACAGGGGATGGGGAGAGGATGCTGTGGAGGCTTCCAGAGGAGGAAGGGAAGCAGAGAGGTGGTGTGTGTGGAGGGGGGGAGCTCCTGACCCCCTGCTTCAGGCTCTGCGCGCCCTGGGGTCGGTGCTGGGCTGCTCTTACCGCTGAAGGGACACTGGATTTTGGGAGCGTGGCTGGGGAGTCAAAAAAGGAGTCAGGGCTGGTGGCTGGCATTGCTGCTGTCCCGGCCACGTGGCTGATGCTTGCCCGGCACCCTGCTCCGGGAATGATGAGCAGGCAGCGACTGGGCAGGTTTAACTGGCTTTGGGCTGCTCAGCCCCTTAGCAAACAGCTGGGACAGGCTGGGCTCAAAGGGCCTTGTGCTGAGAAAACTTTGTGGTTGGTGGAGCTGCACACCAGAATTTCATAGAATCATAGACTTGTAGAATCATTAAGGTTGGAAAAGACCTCAAGGATCATCAAGTCCAACCATCAGCCCCACACCACCCAACCCACTAACCCATGTCCCCAAGCACACCATCCACACGATTCTGGAACCCCTCCAGGGATGGTGACTCCACCACTGCCCTGGGCCGGCTGTTCCAATGCCTGAGCACTCTTGCTGTGATGAATTTTTTTCTAATATCCAGCCTAAACCTCCCCTGGCGCAACTTGAGGCTGTTTCTTGCAGTGTTTCTGCATAATGTGTGCTCAGGTGCTCCTCCAGCTCCTGGCAAAGCAGCCAGCAGGCTGTTGGGATCGCTGGATATGCCAATAAAGCAGCAAAGCTGCAGCTTCAGGGGGTGAGGAGTTGCTCCCAGTGCCTGCAGGCTCTGTGCCTCCCCCTCCCCCCGCGGGACGTAAATCCCATCCACACTCTCCTGGAGATCATAGAGTCACAGACTGGTTTGGGTTGGGAGGGACCTTAGAGACCATCCAGTGCCACCCCCCTCATGGGCACGGACACCTTAGCTCAGGTTGCCCAAAGCCTCATCCAGCCTGGCCTTGAACCCCTCCAGGGATGGGGCAGCCACAGCTTCTCTGGGCAACCTGGGCCACTGCCTCACCCCCCGCACAGTGAAAAATTTCTCCCTAAGAGAGATGCCTCTGGGTACATTTTGCTGCCTTGTGGGAAGAAACCGTCCTGGGTCCTGCTGGGGAAAAGGGCTGGCGGCGGGATGCAGGGCTGGGGGAAGGCTGGCAGAGGGGAGCAATGGAGATGGAGCGGTCAGCCTGGCAGAGGAGAACAGGAGGGCTGACGGGGAGGAAAGGGTTTGGAGGCAGGCAGGAGAGCCCTGCCGAGCTGGCAGCAGCACGCTGCATCGCTTGTGACCTTCCCAGCTTCCTACTGAACCCTCCCAGCGTGACAGCGGGGCTGTGGGGGGCCCTAAACCTCCCAGCAAACGATCAACTGTTTTCCAAACATCACTGGGTGGTACTTAACCGTGATGGACCTGTGCTTTTCCTCCCTCTTCTCTTTGTGTTTCTGCACGGTGGGTGGCAGGAGAAGATTTATTCAATGCCTGACGGATAAACCCACACTGGGCTGCAGGTGGACTTTTTTCCCCCTGTTTTCCCCCTGTTTTGAAGCATTCCCCACCCCATGCTTGCTCCTAGCACCCCAAAAAAACTCAGGGTGCTCAAACCAAAAACTCGGGGTTCTAAAACCAGATAGGAAAGTGGGTGTCAGTGTTTAGATTTGAAAGCTGGGTGATGTGAGGATCAGTGCCTGAAAGGCGGGGGGGCTCTCAGACACACAGCAAAACCCTTTCAAGGTTAGCGAGCCTCCAGGCGCTCCCTTATTGCAAACACTGGAGCAAACCAGGTGGGGAATTTGTGGCCAGTGACTAATGTGCTAACGAGAGCATCCTCAGGAACGAGGCACCCCCGCGTTCAGACACGAAAGCTGGGTGATGTGAGGATCAGTGCCTGAAAGGCGGGGGGGCTCTCAGACACACAGCAAAACCCTTTCAAGGTTAGCGAGCCTCCAGGCGCTCCCTTATTGCAAACACTGGAGCAAACCAGGTGGGGAATTTGTGGCCAGTGACTAATGTGCTAACGAGAGCATCCTCAGGAACGAGGCACCCCCGCGTTCAGACACATGGCAATTCCAGCCTCCCCGGAAGGGGTGCCCAGGAGGGGTTTGGAGTGACACGGGCTCCATCGGGGTGTGATTTTCGTGCTTTATCTCTGCTGCTGCTTTAATGGGAGCTTTGAGAAAAGGGGGGATAGGGAAGGTGCCTGGTGAAGCGGTGGCGATTCAGCGGGCAAGGGTTTTCTTCTGTCCCGGTGATGTTAATTCCCAAGGGAAAATGGTGTCGGGGGGGACCTCACACTGAAGTGGGGGTCGCAGCGCAGAGCATCTCAACTTTGGAAGAGTGATAAATAATTTACCATTGTCTGCAGTAGAGATAAATGTCCCGATCTGGTTTCTAGGAGTATTGGGGCGATTTTGAGAGCGCAAAGCTCTCTTTGCAGGCAGGCTCAGCAGCGGTCGCCTGGGATGCTGTGCTCCGGTACCCGGCATTTCTCCCAGCTTTTGCTGCCGTGGCGATGATGAGCGGGTGGCTGAGGCATGCAGGGCTGAGCAATGGCTTCAGGTTCCCCAATCCCCCACGTTCAGTTGGGATGGGGATTGTGGTGACCTGAACCTGGGCTTTACTGAACCCACGGGCAGACCCTGGGGCACATCAGAGGGTGTTTGAAAACAAGCCTGTGCTGACGGTGGGTGGGAAACTTTGGCATTTTGTCTCCTTTATTTCTTCAATATTTTGATCAGTGAGTCAGTCTTGGTTACGATCCTGTAAATCCCTTTGTAATCCTGGCTGGAGCATCAGCTGCTCTTGTAAAAAAATTTATGGGGCAGTTAAAGTGTATGAGACAGAGCTGTAAAGGGATTTATGAACTGGGAGATGCACAGATGGCTTCATTGCAGCCTTCCCTGCCCGCCTCCGAGGTGCAGAGCTTTTGCCCCAAACACCCCTTTTGGGGATGAGGATGCTCCTGTCCGGTCCCTCCCGAGCGCGGTGAGCAGTCCCCCGCCCGGCGGCTGTGTTCCCCAGCAGTGCCCCGCTGCGAGGCTGGCGGCTTGCGTGCCTCCTCCTGAATTACCTCCTGGCAAACTTGCAAAGCAACCGGGAGCCCATTTATATTCCCAGCGCGGAGCCGCGCAGAGGTGATGCCGTGGGCTGTGCGTCAGCTCTAGAACGGCTCCGGGAAGCGCCGGCGTGATGGGAGCACAGCGAGGTCCCTAACGGCGCGATCAAACGCTGGGATTGCCACAAGGGCAGGGTGCCCTGGGGGGAGACCAGGCAGCAATGGCCCTCCTGGTCTCCTCTGGAGAGGACCTTGCTGTGCCATCCCTGGTCCCCTTTTTGGGTGACAAATAGCATGGGAGGCTGGAATGGCCACAGCCCATTCTGGGTCCCCTTTGGGGACCGTGGTACTGAGCCCCGGAGCTGGCAGTGGCTGCACTCTGCCCCCCAGCCCCAGAGCATCCAGACATGATGTCTGCAAACCCTGTTTGGGGGATCTGGGGACATGTTTTGGTTTTCCCCCCGCCCATTTGAAAAGGGCAAGAGCTCATTCATGCATCTCCCTGCGGTGTGGCCAGATCCTGCTGCCGTGCATCACCCCTGTGCAAGGGACCGCACGCTTGTCACGGAGCCCAGCCCTGCTCTGTTTGATGGCTCCGTACAGGCTGAAAATAACCCCTGCCTTCTGTAAATTTAGTAGCCGCCACAAAGCTATCAGAGGCCTTTTTGGGTAAATAAATATTGCTTCACTAACACACGGAGCCTCGTAAAGCCCTCGCCATAAAACCAGCTAATTGTAGTTCAGGTCTGTAACTGCTCCCCATCGCTGGCAGACAGGGAGGGAATGCAGGGGAGTGGGGGGACCAGAGGGGACGATGAGGGTCTGT